GGGAGGGGGGGGGGGTTGTAACTATCCGACTAATATTTTCGCAAACCAGTCGATCGTTCGGGATTATTAGGCCGAATCCGATGATTCGGGGATCCCGAGGACAGCGAGAGTCCGAATATTCCGTTGACGCACCGGATCCTCCGAAAAATCCCGAGATCTATATTTAACTCCTTAGTTAGACTATAATTGTAATTGCGGGTGCCCTTAAGAGAGACATACGAGCGGCGGGAGTTGTTTTCTCAAAGAATTTAGCGTCGACTTTTCTTTAGCAGGAATTTAATTCAAGTGCGCTTACCGCGCGAGCGCTCTTTAATTTTCATTTTCTCGAAGAGCTCGGGAATTAAGTCCGAGATTATGCGTTCGCTAAAGAAAAATGGACTGAAAGTTGCTTGGAAGATAATAACTCCTACAGCCGATACGCATCTCTTGCGGGGCATCCTGGTAACAACGGATATAGCGGATAGATTAGGCGTGATGAGATGATTCAAAAAGGGGAGATGAATGGTAAAGAGAGCGCGCGCGTTTATGATCGAATGCATTGATAAAATATGTCACGTGAGATCGTGGCTATGCCGTTATGTGAATGTCACGAGGGCCGTATCATGATCTGTGAGAATCATGGGAAACGCGGCTTCCCCAAGTCATATTACCTTTACACGCGCACACACACGCCGAAGAAAGTTTCGCCCCGCTTCGCTTATAAATCTTCGGTATCGCATGCGACGAAGTAAGCGAAGCGAAGTAATCTGTCTATAAATAACAGTGAAAGATCCCCGTCTTCTTTCCCTTCCCCTGAAGCTTTGTATCTCCGCGAATTCTGAGCTTTTTTTAAACTCCTTGGAGATTCTTGCGTTTCTTGGGTCTTCAATAGGATCCTTAGATCGCTAAGAATCTGGAATCTGACATTTTGGAAATCTCGCCATGAAGGGATTAAATTGGCTATCCACTTGTTTCATCAAAACTCTTGAATTTATATCTTCTTTTCTTTTCTCTCTCGCGATAATAAATCCTTGGATAACTTCCGACAGGAAGATGAAACTTGATCGACGTGTGTATATGTCACGTATATCGGTGCTCTCATCCTCGACGGCATGCGGCATTCATAGGACAATCAACATAGGACTAACAAATAGCAGTGCAACGTGCAGTACGTACTGTCGCTTAAATATTAATCTTTCACAAGGAAGATTTCACCTGGTCCCGTCATAAAGCGCGTATCCGCCATAACTGTAAAACTGCTCTTAGCGTTGCACGCGAATAGTGTCGGATAATACACTTTGGAAATGAAATTTTTTTTACGGCGCATCCGAAGCATCAACTTCTTAGATGACGAGAGCGTTGCGCGAAAAACGTTCTCGACGGAGTGAACTATGAGGGCCCCGAGATGTGATCATCTCGCATCGCAAAAACGCTTCGATATCTCGCTGTGACTCTCTGAAAATTGCGGCTATTTACAAAGCACAGCAATGTTAAAGAATGACTCCGTTGAACAGAAAATAGTTCGCAACTTTTGTAAGATTCTTTATGTTTAATCATCATTCCTCACTAGATTTAAATAATCAATCTATTAACATTAGAAGTACCGACATTTCTTATTTAAAGGAATAACAAATAAATTATTATAAAAATAAAGAAAGTAATGAAAAACTTAATTTTTTTTTATCACTTAGATGATATAATTATTGGTAAGTTAAAAAATTGCAGAATCTTCCCATACAATATAGAATTTGCAGCAATATTGTTGCAATGTTTGTAATGTACTTTGTAAAATACTAGAATATTGCTGGAATCATCAGTGCTGTATTAGTTATCTTTTACGTAATACAATATTAATCTGAAAAATAGAAACGGTCAGTAATGACCTACTTCTATAGACTTGCCACAAATTCCTCATCATAAAGCTCTATAACTTTCCCTGATTTCCAGATAAAATTTCATGAGTTCCCTAACTTTTAACAATATTTTGAAATTTGTTATATTTTTTTCCTGATTTGGAAATCGTTAAAAATTTTGTTGAGAAAGCAATTTAAAATAGCAATGTCAATTACTACTCGTATTAATGTTGTTGATATTGCTTGCATTTAATTGTTGATTAATTAAGATGATTAAGTTGAAGTATTCCAAAACTACATAGGTATGATGTACGAAACTTCTTTAAAGCCGAGAATTTTAATTTTCCAAAAAATTTTGCGAAATTTCCTGACTTTTCCCTAATTTCTCTGACCGTTTTTAATTTCCTTGACATTTTCGTGATTTCTAATTTTGTATTACAACAGTTGCAATGTCACTTTTTCTGCTGAACGCGGTCAAATAACGGTCTTTTCCAGCGAAACAAACACGACTAGTCGCGAATATGTCACGTGAAGAGATATATACAGCTTTACACAACCATGTAATGACTATGCGTAGTAATGCATGCGATTGGGTCTCGAGTGCGTTCGCGTGCTCGCTACATTAATCTTCCTTGGAAGATAAGGACGGTGCATTCCCCAGGCAGTAGCTAGCAATTCGTACGAGCTCTGTTTCCCAGTCATCAGTCAGAACAAAGAATGACTATACATCCCGTTCAGCTTCTGAGCATTCGCGTTGTTCCCCTTTAATCTCTAACTTTAACTTTAGTACGCCAGTTCCGAAAAATTCACTCGTTTGTTTAAATAAAGAGGCATCTATAAACGATAATCTTCACGATCTTATCGATTGCAAAAAAAAAAAAAAAAAAAGAGAGGAAAGAGAAGCCCGGGCGTTCAGAGATCCGAAAAACGCCGGGAGGGTCGAATTCAATCTTCATCAGGAAAGCCATTACAACCGCGGGGAACGAAATTCCACTCGTAAATCCTTTATCGTCGCCGCAACGTCGGATGGAGAAGATCCTCCCTAAATCCCACTCGATCTCGCGTTAGAAATCCGAACTCGATATATCACGGTAGCCTTCGTACATTATTAGACACGCTCGAGGTCAGTAGCGGTTTAGCGGTTACATCGATTTGCGGGATCTAATCGCTCGCTCGCTCGCGACATCTCTTGTCAAACCGTCAGAATAACGTCGTAACGTCGTAACGCACCGCGCCATAACGTCAGACCGAAAATTTACGCACCGCATTTGTAGTCGCGGTAAAGGTAACGGACGAGCGTTTAAGTCTACTTTTAAGAGTCTCGTAAAAGCCGCCCACAAACACGCGGTTCTTTGCCGACCACGTAACTCTTTACTAGTCAGTCGAATGACTGTATTATAGTTTGATAGTCCCAGTTACGTCCGTGGAATATACTCAAATTGCATCTTGCGTCGTGGGGAATGTCGTGCTGCTCCGAGCGGCGTCGGGACGCGTTTTACGACGTTGCGTCCTCCCGTGCGTCGCGATTCTCCGAGAAATTTTTCGTTTTATCGCTAACGAAAAGTTTGAGGTAAAAAAATTTCTATTTTGACTATCTTAAAGGTGCATCTTTCAGATAGAATTTCGGTCTTCGAACTAATCGAAACTCACGCAACTCATATATAAACTATTTTACTGTCGAGAAAATAATCTCGAAAGAAATAACGATGTGATTATGAGATAGTTTTTTTTGAAGAAAAAGTATACATTTTTTTTATTAATACGTTTGTAAAAAATTTGCATTATTAGTATTATTAGTATTATAGCACTAAGATTTAACCGAAAATATATTTATTTCTATTAATTGATTTATTAACATCTATGATGCATTCAAATCTATCACGATGTGATATTTAAAGCAGCAAATGAAAAGCTGTTAGATAATGAAGAAATAGTTGGACGTTCGATAAAACGAGGATTTAGCGATTTATATAGCGTTTTAATATCGGAAGTGAGTAATGCGTCACGCCTTGTCGGCTTTCCGTAGGATAAAAATAGCCTTTTAAAGCTCGTGGATGCGTTTGTGTCAGCGTTTTCCAGATTATTAACGCGTCATTAGTGTCGGTGTACATTGTTCCGAGCGACATGGGAAACATGCATTTACGGTAAAAACGACCGCGAGCTCTGAATTGGCCATGTGATTGATCGTGAATAAAGTTATTAATGACACAACCGATTGTCAAACGTTTATGTCACCAAAACGCGTTATTCTGTTTAACAAGCATCCAGATTTAATTGCGCGTTTGCACTGCCATTCGTACAAATTTTCAATTTTGGGTAAACTCACCGCGAGAATCTCAAACGCTTCCTCTCTCGCTTTTATCGAATCAGAATAATGACAAAAATAAAAATATCCAGTCATCTGAATGAAGTTAATATAAGCTGCGTGACTTTTTTGTATTTTATATGGGGAACGCGGTCGCGTATTGAAACACGATATATTCATACGAATAATTGTCTGCGATATTTAAAAAGTTCCGACAGATATCATCGCGATTCCGTTTCCGTCACGGAAAGGCAGAGAGAAAATGGCCCCGGAACTCCTCGCGAACTTTCTTCGACCGGACGCCTTTCTTTCGAGATAAAGCCACTGTCGACATGCAGCTGCAAGAAGGCAGCCGCGCTTGCATTCCCTCTCTCGATGAGGTACGATTCTCTCGAGGCAAGACGCTGAAATTTACGGCGCTTGTTTGGCGCGAGGCGAGCGAGTCCTCGTCTTCGTCTTCCGTAGCGAAAGAAAGACGGAAAGAAAGGGGTGAGCGAGCTTTTCGCGGACTTTTTTCGTCGCGGCATATTTCATTTCCCCGAGACTTCCCGTTTCTTTTCCGCGCGGCGCGTCGGAACTCGGGCTTCCTTTCCTTAGGATTGTAAATAGCGAACGTGCTGAGTAATGAATCCAGAAGGATTCTTGTTTCGGGTGGCAGACAATCACTCAACTCCGAAACAAGGGAAACTTTAGAAATCTTGAAACACGCGAATGCGGGAGTGTCCGCGGTCGCTGAGAATCTCAGGATGCTGCGAATCCGCTCGGTGAAGCGTTCGAGAGTAAAGCTCCATCTAAATCAACAATTTTATCTTTGTAATGCTCGTATCGCGCTAGCGATTATGTCATTGTTGCCAGGTTGAGGGATTTTTCTAAATTTTTTTTCACCAAGGAATTTTTTGGGAGTACAAGTTTTTTTTTGGGAGACTTTTTCAGAGGAAAATACAAAGAAATGTCCAAGTAATGATTAAAATATTAAGAAAATCGCAATATATGAGGATAATTTTCGATCTGAATTTCTTGATCAATCAAAAAGGAACTGCTGGACAGCAGCTTCTTTCCGATTGATCAAGAGACACAGACTCAATCTCCAATCGCTAGTGTGACACGGCCATTCTTTTTTTTTTCTTTCTATTACTATTCAATAAAAGATTGAGATTCTAACGATGAGAATTATTGACATGCAAGTATCGTGTATGCATATCCGTGTATGTACGCGTGTGTGTCTGTATATTGTATGTATTTTATGCATCCAGACTATGTCCTCGTTAACGCATATAACGCATACACATAACAGTCTATCAGGCATGCGTTTCTACGATGAGACTAACAATAAATTGGACATTGTCTCTGCGAGGCTCGCAGCGTGCGAGTGCAATCAAGTGCGAGGAGCGATTTTCTCCCTTTGGATCTTTGGTTGAGGATCGGTTAAGGGTTGGTTCAGTACATTTCGGGGTGATCAACCGGGAAAGTATTACCGCGATCGATAGTATAATGTAACGTCCATAATGTCCGCTTTTATCAGTTAGTTGTATGCATCGGATAGAAAAATTTTTCTCTACAAGAGATAAACTATTTATAGTTTAATTATAATCTCGAACGCGTTATCCGATGTTCGTACTTTGCGTTGTAACAAAAATGTTAGATTATTAAAAATAGAACGGCCATCATAATTTATATGGAATGTTGTATAAAGTAGCATGGCTTTTTTTTAATTTTAACAAATTAAAGTGCGATCGATATCTGCATAATGAAAATTTTATTGAATACATTTCCTTACTGTTTTTCGACAGCAAATATGTCATACTGAAAAAAAATTTATGAAATCTTATGTATATTTTTTGCAATAATATTAAGTAAACATTTATTTATAGTAAGTAAATACTTATTCAATAAAGAGATGATAGTTAGATCAAATTAATGATTCTTATATCAAATTTGTACATTTTTAGTAAATATTTATTTATAAATATTCAAACAAACATTTATTAAAATTTAGCATTTTTCAATGTAATAATAAAGTCACAAGATTGAAATTCTATCAAAATAATTGCGATTATAGATTAAAATTTAAATGTTATTTTTTAACCTTTAATTAATTCATCAAACCTTGTTAATAATCATTCGAAATAGTTATTATTTTTTAAAAATAGTTATTACTTTTCGGTTTTTTGCATTTGTGATTCTCGAAGAGTAATCTTTTCAGCATTTTTTTGTTTAATAAACAATAACACACGTAAATGTGTTTTGTTTCAATTAGAGATCGTTGAGAAATGCCCATCAAAATCGTTACGTCATCGTTCTCATACTCATTACTTTCGCATTTTGCTCACGTTCTGAAACTGGTACACGAGTGACCCGCAGCAAGACTGAACATTAACCCAAGTTATTAGTCCACCAAGCTGCACGTAAAAAGGTCACGATTGAACATTGTCCGCGCGTAATTTCAGCTTACCGCATTGCGAAGTCGGTCAAATTCGAATCTTGGCTCATCGACAAAATCGAAGTCTCATTTTCGAACAAAAAACCCTCAGAAAAATCCGTTAATAATAAAATGTCTATAATCTATTATATAAATTGAAATTATATTTTTAATGAAATTTTGGAGTTGATTACGACAAGGTGATAAAAGTTTCTTACCTTTATATTAATTTATAATTTTATTCGCTCAGATTTACGCGTCGAAGGAATCGAAAGATTTGATAATTTGAAATTGTGGAGAGAAAGCTTATTTAATGATTTGAAAAAATAATCTTTTTCAATTATTTCATCCCCTTGAGTATTTTATTTTAGAATTTCGATTTCAATCGAATCTTTATTTCTGGAGATTCCAAGATCGATTACAAATTAAAAAAAAAATTAATAACTAAATATTCATGTACGAATGTCTACCAAAATTTTAACATTTTTTCTGCTAAAAAAAACTTTGCTTCTCCAGCAGTAAATTTTCCTGAAGAAGCTTCTGACAAGAGCCTCATTAGAATGCACAGAAGCCAAGGGTTCAACGACCCGATTTCCTGAATCGTTAATCGACCGATGGCTGTTTTGCGCTATAAAAAAAGAGGAAGAAGGAAGAGGCCCGCTTTGATTTGCATCGTAAATAGCGGCGGGTAAACAGTCCCGTGGAAAAGGGCCTCAAAAATCGCGCTGGGTGGCGTACAGCGGTGTCGTGCAAAAAAAGGAGGGTAAAAAATACACGAATTTTTTTTTATACCGGGCGCGTCAAGCGTGAGGTAGGGCGAAGGTGTGTATGTGGGTCGAGGGTGAAAGGGTGCTGAAAAAGAGAGACAATAGAACGCATAAAAAACACCGACTACAAAATGCAAAGTCAGCGGCCGTTCTACGCTCGCGAGTGTGCGCGTGAAGCGCGGGCGCGCGCATTGCGCATTTCTTCTCTTTCTTCCGAGTTCGCGTGCTGAAGCTTTATATTACCAAAGTAGCGCATTCCTTTTATCTGTGCTGAAATGCCGACGATCTTCCTATTGACTATTTCGATTTAATTGTCTGTAGTCCAATAAGCGCTTAATATTATTGATACAGGATAGAGTAACTCCGGTATAATAATTTCCTATCAAAAACCGAGGGTTTTTAATTTATTAAGTATTATTTACTATGTTTAAACTAAACGAACTATATCAGTAAAAACTTTGTACTGTCTACTATTATGAAAAAAATATTAGAAATCTGAAATATTTATATTTCGTATTAAAAAAATGAACTTTTTTAAACTCTTGCAACTTTTGTCGTATATCCCATAAGGATATATATCTACTCATAGGGGGAAGGGGGAGGGGGGGAGAAGGTATGTATGATTCATGAAAAATTTATAAATAATGCATATAAATAAAACGTAAAATGACACAATAACTTATAAAATGCATTTATATAGTTTTATTAAGGAATAAGAACGATAAATATGTAGTAGTACGAAGTAATAAATAATAATTAAAGTCTTCCCACATGTATTACAAGTGTTATGACATGAGGTACATATTTCATATAATGCGTTTATTACATTTGGTGCACTGAATTCAATCTGCGCACTTTGTATGCTTTGGGCATAAATCCCGCCCGCTAAAAATGTCGTATATCCCAAACAGATGGGATGGATATACAAGACAACAAATTAAAACAAAGAAGCATACTTGTATTTTATTATACAACATGCTTTACTATTCGTCTACATTCATGTATCACGAAATAACCACTAAGTTTCTTGCACGCTCTACAGTAATCATTTTATGTGGATTATAATTTACGATGGTGCTACTTAACACAGTGACAAATCGATTCAACCCACAATAATCTCATTAATATTAACAGTAAGAAAGTGAAATCGTAACACTATATTAATATAACATAAAGGCACGTAATAGAGTAATTGCGGGAAAAATTACCCCCACTCCTATTTCTTCTGCGGCGAAAATCCTAGCGCGGCGTATTTGCCGGAGTTACTCTACAGTTAGTAGGTCGAAAATGGAGGACCTATGCGCTACTTTGGTATATAGAGCTCTAACGCGTGCATCAGCGTGCACGGCACTTGCACGCGCCCGCCTCCCTTGTTCTTCGCCTCGCTCGTGCTGTTCTACTTGCGCGTACGGTGCACGACGCGGAAAAGGCGCGCATTAAGCTCTCACGGTGGTTTGCAGTTTGCAGTAGCTTGGCGACGTCGTGTAATGCGCGCCAATGTCTGTATTTATGGACGACGTTGCGTGCGAAACGCGGATCGATGAAACGTAAAGATATATATTGCCCCTTTTTTCCGCGAGGTACACGCGCGGCAAAAAGTTCAACATCATCTTTCCTCTTTTGAGGGATGAGTATGGCTTTTCGTACGACGCGAGCCAAAATAGGAGCATCCGAAACTCCGGGAGCAACGTTCTCCACTTCTTTGTGAATAAATACTTCCTTCGTTACATCGAGCCTGAAAAACGTTTCGCGCGAATAAGATCAGACATCGGTACGCAACGAAGATAACGACAATGAGCGAGAAGATATGGCGGCGCACGAGAAAAGGCATATGAAAAAATGAAACTATCAAAGAAACGTGAAATGCTCATGAGAGTGAGTGAGAGAGAGAGAGAGAGAGAGAGAGAGAGAGAGAGAGAGAGAGAGAGAAATATCAAAAGAGACAGATAACGAAAAGGATGATGGAAGGAAAGCAGAGAATAGAAATAGAATGTATTGCGAAAAATGAAGAGATCGAAAATGATGAATTGTGTGTGAGCGTGTGGATGATGTATGTAATGTGTACATGTATGTATCACCACAAAGTAACGAATATAAAAAGACTTGAAATTCGTATCTTTTTATTTCACCTTTACCCGCATTCATCCACATTTCAATTAACATACAGAATGTTTTTTAAAAAAAATATGTAAAATGCATTCTCTTCGTATGGATTTTAAAAAAGAGTCAGAAAAAGCTCTTTGATGCGCAGATACACGAAGATTTATTACGATCATGAATCCGCAAGCCAATACGGGAACTTTCGAGAGACATTCTGTACAATTATGGTGACACATTGATGTGACGGCGATCCGAATGAATGTTTCAGAGCGGTAGAAAAAGAGATAAGGGCGGTAATAGAGAGTCTAGAGAAAAAGGCGGTGGCGAATTACCTTGAAGGACTGCACAGAGAAACCAGAAACCAGGGTCGGTCCATAACATAAGAAGCGAACAGAAAACAGAAAAAGGTAAACTTGTAATTAGGTCGTTCGCTGTAAGAGACACTGTAAGCATGTCATTTCCTGCCGAGAGGGTGGGCTGGTTGTGAGAGAGCTGGAGCGCGGGGGCGAGGGTGAATAGAGTCTTATCGTGTCTTTCTGGTTGATCGATGGATCCAACGTGTGCTACCGGGTGCTGGAAGAACTTATGTTACAGGATGACACGAATGTCGCATAATGCATTAAATCTATTCGAAAAAATATGAGTTCCACACTTTAACGCTCCAACATTCAACCGCGATCATTACGTGCGGTCAAGGTTAATGTTTTAATGAAATTATGTAACCTTTCGTAATCATCCTGTAAATTAGAAGGAAATGTAAGTCGTTCTATATACAAAAGTATCAGGCTTCATAATCGAGAGAAATTTTTCGCGGCGAAGCGCGTTGATTTAATTTCTGATGAAACGCTCAAATAAAATTCGACAACAGGAAAATTTCGAAGAATGGAAGAATTGAAATTTGTCAAATTGATCAATTATTTGAATTGCGATGTAATGTGATTATTATTGATAATCGAAGATTTGTCATTTTGAACAGATGAATTCTATTGTTAGCACTGCAGCGAGTGATGCGCCGATGTTAACTTATTATTAAACGGACTAGTAGCCAATTAACTCGCAACGCGTTTCCCATATATATGACGTGCAAATATTTACCACACAATTTCTCTCAGTTACACGGCCGCAAGTACTGGCGTAATTTCGGATAAACGCGCGCGACTAGGTCGTCAGACATTATCGTTACCGTATTACTCGGTAACGATTACGTCATACGAACATTCAGCCGAAACACGAACACGATAAACTCGTCACTAATTAGTGATTGTTGGGGGTTAATTACGCCGGTACGATACACCATCGCATAGTTCCACAGTTTGCGCGAGAGATTCCTGCAATTCAGCTGTTGGCTCGACAAAAATGCAAAAAAAAAAAAAGAGAATATGTCGAGCATGGCCTCTGCACAATACAGGAATTTTAAATAATTGTATCGATTAAATTGATTTTAGCATTGTAAAAGAAATAGATGCAATCGCGTAATCTGTGGAGTGCGAAATATGAGTATAAGGAGGACAGTTTCGATGATAGTATACTGTAAGGTGCGATCTTTGCAGATGTTTGAGTACCAATCGCAAGACGTATCTTCAGATGTTTTACGACTCTCATAAAATCATATCGCAAGTCAAGTTGCGCAGTCTGCTGCAATAATAATAAAATACAGACGAAGTTTATATATTGAATATGAGTAGGCAAATGACGGTCTTGTTTCACTGCTGAAGGAATAAGTATCATGTACGCAATTGTCTGAACTTCAGTAGTAATCCCGAAAAATTCTCACTTCTATAAAGTCAGTATTCATAGGCGATTCTTATTTTCACGAAAAGAATAAGATTTTATTAAAGTATCCAAAAATTTAACTAAATACAAATCTGAAAATAAATTTTATTGGACTATCAAGATAATTATGTACGATATTTAAATCGATTATTAGTTAAAATGTCAAAATTTTTCACAATATCGTTCATCAGTTTCCTATAGTTTCCTACGTTTGAGTTTCCTACATAATTATTTTAAAATTAGTTCAACAAAATTATTTTATAAATCTGTATTTACTTAAATTTTTAGATACCGTAACAAAATTGTTCTTTTAGTGTAAAATTGTCTTAAAAACAATTTTGAAATATCAAAAATCAATAATAAAAGCATATTAGCTTAAAATATTACTTAAGACGCTCTTAAAATAAAAATTGATTATAAATACCGATCTAAAAATTTTATTTAATCTTTAAGTAAGTAGATGGGATGTTCAGAACATCTAAAAAAAAATTTTATTTTCTAATTACATTTCTTAATAATCTATATAGAGTTAAATTGATATTGTTTGTATCCTTATTAATTAGTCGGAATGTAAAAATGAACTTTAAGATTTCTAGGCAATATTTCTTATTTTTCTTTTATAGAAAAAGATTTTTTAAATAATTATATGTAGGATTCTATATTCACCTATCTATTAAAAGATTAAAAGCTTTTTCCTGATTATATATTATGATTAATGCATTCGGTGGATACGAAACGTTTAAAACGCATTCGGGAACGGATCGACCCCGACTGACGTCGACGGCGCGGAATTACACGTCGATTTCTAATTTCTGCCGAAGACAGAATTCGCACCGGCCGTCATACCGGTCGGCACGCGAAATTTCGCTCGAGTGAGCGGCTGTCTATTTTGGTCGCGACGAACCGATAATTAATTACGATACGAGGACCCGAAAACGCGAAAATGTCAACTCGGTCGGCCTGCTGCGTCGCGATTGTCATAGCCGCGCGTAGACACGTTCTCGGGCTGCGCGCATCTCGCATGTCAGATGCACCCGTACACTGCATATAATATGCACACACAGGATATGTCCTGGTTTAACTTTTCAAGGGAATTACGCGTGAAACGCGCCACGGCGATGTGACGTTATCCCATTTGAAATGCGAGAAGGTTCTTGGAGATGCGTTGCTCAGTGATTCCTCTGCACAGTGTTTAAATCTACTGGAAGCTGGTAATGCAGAAGTGAATAAAGGTTTCCAGAATTTGAATGTTAAAGCATTGAAGATGTACATGTACATATCTGACGGATCTCTTATTGTTCTTCGATAAAAAAATTATTAGATGATCCTTTGATAAGAGTTTTATCACTTGTAATTCGTAATTTCTGATAGAATGTTTTTGTCGAATAAAAATTTTCACATGAAAATCCAAAATAGCTTGTCCCGGGTTCACTACATGATGTACTACAAAATTAATTTTACTATTTCTGTCAACGTAGATTTTAATCTCGATTCAACTAATTTTTCTTTTTTTTTTTTTTTTAGTTATAAGAATTAGAAAAAGACGAAAAATATGTTAAACTGAGATAAACTTAATCTACATTGGTAGAAACGAGCATAAGTAAAATAATGCAGGTGTTCTACGAATAATAAATTAGTATAACTCTTTTATTGTGTACTGATGAAGACTCAACCAACAGACAAACCAAAACATTCAGTTCTTTTGTTAAAATTTTCTAATGAAAATACGTATCAATTTCTGCGTTGACTTCCAGTGCTTTAGTCTTTAATATAAAAATTTGTGACGCTTCCTGCAGGCATTTTCACGCACTTCATTCGGTACGTTACTTTTTATGCTAATGAGCAGTCAATTAGTGGACAACGAATGTCGATTTTCGCTTCTCATATCGATCGGCTACTATCGTTTGGTTTTAATTTCCTCTCTTGTTGTGAAATGATACGGGACACGTGCGCGATACATTTGACTGATGTAATTCGATTTCGAGCATGGTTGGGTTAAACAATAATATGTTAAAGGCTTGTTGTATCAAACGCGTGACGATTTTTACGTTATTTTTTTTGTCTCTCATCGGAGACGGTTACATCGAAAAGTATGTAGAATCGATGGTCCTTGTTGACCACGTCAAAATACCATTCTGAAATTTCGAACAAATATTTTGCCATTTTTTTCCGAAAGAGGGCGAAAAAAACGTAAAACATTCTCTACTGCACGTGAAATCAATATTTTCTTCGTTTTCGCGATGTAACATGATTTTTATTCACTTTGTGTCAACAGATTTTTTGTTACATGTTTGCGCGTAGTAACGGGTTATCTAAAAAGTTTGCGTAACACGATAAAACCTTTACCGCGTCGATTATTCAATTTTTTTTTGCACTACGTCGTCGGCATTAGTCGGAATGGAATCGCAAATTCAGGACGCAATCTCGAATGTATAAGGGAAACAGTGGCGCCGGGAAACAGACGCTTAAAAAAAATACGTGGCACTTAATGCGACGGCACGTGCATTTTAATCCGCGAATGACCGAATCAAATAATAACCGCGCGACGAGAATCGTTTATGCTCACACCTGACTGTCATCAAACCCGATCAATTTTCCATTACTTTCCCTCTCATTGATAACGCTTTGCGGTCCCATTTCAACGATCGTCGCTTCATTCGCGAAAATCTCTCGTGCCGCGCCCTGAGATGTATTGCCTGGATTTTTTATTACTCTCACGCTCACACGCAGGATGCATTTTATGGGCGCATTAATTCCTTTTTATCGCCATTGACGAAATATTGTATGCGATCCATTACGTGCTTGCTCATTGATGCCTGAATTTATTAGTTTTAATTCCACCATATTTTACTTGCGGAAAAAGAATAAATGCTCGCAATTTTATTACAGATGTAATTATCTTTCTTTCTCACGAAGATTAGAAAAAGTCATTCCGCGAGACTTACAAAAACTGTGTATAAAGAAACTTTGAATAATTTCGCGTGCGTTTTACAATCTCGAAAAGTGGATGCAGCAAATAAAAATATAAACTAGTTTCCGTTTTATTGTATCATTATTTTAATGTCTCATGTTCAATGTGTTATACCGTTTATTTGCTACCTTCATTATCGCGCGCGAAGCACAATCGCAATTTTCTTTTGTAGAAAATTATATACACGCCTCTCGCACGGAGATTAGAGAAATAATCCCGCGACTCAAAAGAACCGGTTCCGCCGTGTGGAATAATTTCACGTTATCACGCGTGCGTTACTCGATCTCAGATGGAGGATATGAAATTGCATGGAGGATTATCAGGCGAGTACACGTCCGTTCAGCGAATTTTCCGCGCGATCGTGCTGAGACTGCGAGTCCCGCTGAATTTATACGTGGTGAGTGACCCGAAGCGGCTGCGCGAGATCCCGAGTACATTCGTGTCTTCCTGTCGATCCTTTATTATTCGCAAGACCGAAGAAACCGCGACTTTCCTAGCGAATTTTGCGACCGGGAAATCCGACAGCTGCGCGACCCACTTTCGCAACAATGACAATTTGACGAGCTGACGGGGCGTCACCGGAATGAAACACTTAAC